CAGTGAGGGGGTTCGTTTAAATTTTGGGCCCGGGGGGGCGGCAGGCGGGGGAGGGAGGAGCGGCCTTTTTTCCAAACCCAAACCCAAATTTCCTGCGCTGTTTCGGTCTGTTGTCAAAATGAAGGTAGGAGCATGGGGAAAATTTCCCCAAAAAACATCTTTTCAGGGTTCCCAAACCCGCCCGGGGCCCGGGGGCCCCCGGATCAGGCCCCCCAAAAGGGGGTTTTAAAAATTAAATCCGGCCCCGCGAGATTATTCAAAAAAAAAAAAAGAACTTTTTTTTTTTTGTTTTTCCCCCGGTAAAAAAGTTTTTTTCCAAAACCCTAAAATTTTTTCAAAAACCCGGTTTGTTCCCAATTTTTTGCTTCCCCACTGGAAAGGGGTGGGGCCCAATTAGCCCTTGGGGTTTGCAACCCAAACTGGGTTTTTCCCGGGGAAAAGGGAAGAAAAGGGGGGGTAAAAACCCCCTGCACCCCCAATTTTTGGGCCCCCCCCCACTTTTGGTTTTGCCCCGCGATATTATTCGGGTGTTTTTTTTAACATTAGGTGCTTTGGCCCCCCAAACCCCAAATGTCCCCGTAAAAAAAGAAAAAGGGTGCCCGCGGGAGTTTTTCCAAAAAAAATTGGTCTTTCCTATTTTTCAGGGAAGGAAGGGGAAAAGCGGTAGTTTGGTGTGTTCAAGCATTTTGCGGGTGGGGAAGAATAAACCTTCGTCGCCCCAAATTTTGAGTCTTTAAATGCCGACAAATATAAAAAATTTCAAGGAAAAGCGGAGATAGAAAAGGGTAAAATGAACTGTTGGGGGGGGTCTGAAGAAACACCCAGTCGTGTTTTACTAAACAGCCGAGACATCAGTGCCCGCTCCCGTGAAAGCTAGCTCCCCCTCATTGCAAATGAAACGCAGGGGCTTCAAAACCTTTTTAGGAGGTGAATTTGAAAAAACATGCATGATAAAGGGAAGCGGAGTTTGGGGGCCCAAAAGGGGAAAGGTTTTGGGGAAAATTTAAAACCTTTGCCCAAGAAACACAGTTCAGACGGATTTCCGATCTTTCAGGGGTTTTTGGACACCCTTTTTAAAGGGAAAAATTAAAGTCATTTTTGCTTTTTCCCGTTGAAATTTGGGAAAAAACCCGGCCCTTACAGAGGGGGAAACAACTGGCCTTTTTCTTAATCCGGGGGTTGGATGACACATTGCCCCGTCACCGGGGTTTTTTCGGGATTGGTGCCGATGACAGATCCCAACGACAAAAGCTAAATTTTTTTTAAACCGCAACCCGGTCGCGCGCTGGACAGGGTCGGGTGGACTGGCCCCCGCGCTGTCACCTGGCTACAGATGTGCCCCCCCAAATGGGGGGAAAAAAAGCAGGCGTTGTGAAAAAGAAAAAGGGGAAAAGGGGCCAATCTGAAAAGGGGAGGACGTGATTTTTTGACTTTTCCCCTGTTTTTGCACCCGGGATTTTTTGTGTTGAAAAGTCTTTAAAAGGAGGGAAATAACGCATGAAGGGGGTTTTTCCCAAACTGTTTTTCCCCGGGATCCAGAACCAAAAAATAAACGTTTTTTTGGACACCTTTTTCAAGAAAAGCCCACATCTAGGCCTCCAAAACACCCGGGGGTAAGATTTTAACCCCGAGGTGCTGTGCTGAGGCGTTTTTTTTTTGTTTTTTTAAACGAGAAAAAAATTGAACTTTTCAGGGAAAAAAAAGGGAAAAACCATTTTTTAAAATTTTTTCATTCCCAAATGGAGGGCAAAACCTTGCATTTATGGGGGATTTTTAAAAGGGCCCAAATACTTGAACAAACAGCTGAAAGGGCGAAACAAATTTGTCACCATATTTTTTACACCTAGGGTTTTTTTCTTTTTTGAAAGCTTCATTGTGGGAGCCCCAAACTTCCGGGGGGTGAGGCAAGCTCATTTTCCCCCTGCCCAAAAAAAAAAATTTGGGGGTGCGCACCCAACAGTGGCCCTTGAAGGGGTTTCAAAGAAAAAAATAAGGGGGAAAACTTTTTCGGGGTTTGAGAAACGCTTTCAGATTTTTTTTTAATTTTTTTTAAATTTTTGAGGTGCAAAATTGGGTTTTTTAAATTGATTTTTTTTGTATATTCCTTTTTTCTTAAACCTCTGTGGGTCTTGCACTTTTTTTTGGGGAAAAGGGAGTTCTTTAAATTTTATCTAAATTTCTCCTTTTTGAAAAATGAAAACCCCGAAAAAGTTCTTGAATTTTCTGTAAATCACTGAGGCATTTGTTTTGTGTTTTTCCTGGGAATTTGAGGTGTTTTTAATTTGTGATGTTGTGTTTTTGGAAAACACTGTCCTCGGGCCCCCACTTTATTTTTATATTTTTTTTTAAATTTGTTTTTTTAACCTTTTCTTGACCGGGGGGTTCTTGCACTTTTTGGGGAAAGGTTTCCCCATTATTTGACCCTTTTTGTCTGCCTAAAGAATGAAAACCCTGTAGATTCTGTGATCGGTGAAAGTTTCCTTGAATCAACTGGGGCATTGTGTTTTTGGGTGTCTTCTTTTTCTTTAAAATTTTTTCAAAAAAAATTTGGGGGGACGTGTTTTATGATTAATAGTGAGGGTTTTGCTTGGACCTTTTTGGGGCCCCTGTCCCCCGGGGCCCCCTTTATTTGTAAAGTTGATCGTATTAAAACAAAAAAAACAATCTGAAGTTGTTTTTTTTTTAATTTTTTTAAAAAACCATGATTTTTCCGGGCCGGGCCCCCTTGGGGAAAGATTTTCCCCTCCATGTGAGCTAAAAAGAGTTTTTAAACACCCCTTATTTTTTTTCCAAAAATGCTTGGGAATTTCAAAAAAAGTTTTCATTGGGGAAAGGGGGAAAGGGAAACGTTTTTTATCAAAAGCAATCAAAATTTTTTGGGAAAAGAGGCCACCCAAGGCTAATCCAAAGTGCCCTTTAAATTAAGTCTTTTTGTTTTGGGGGGCCAACTTTCGCCTTGGTTCCCTACAGACCCGGGGGCACCTGGGTCCGCCCCCGAGGTGCCCGTTTCCAAATCCAATGGGGATAAAATTTCCGGGTGCAAAACAAGGCCCCAAGCGGGGGGGGAAATTTTTAAAAGTTTTTGGTTTGGTTTATTTTTTTTTTTTAAAAGTTTTTTTAACCGGGGAATCCGGGTTTGAAAACCCCCCTTTTTTTTACCCTGACGGCCTTGGGGACCGGCCCAAAACCCCGGGCGATTGTGCGCCGCCCTAAAGGGGGCCCCCAACACGGGGCCGGGTTGTTTATTACAAACCCGGGGAATTTGAACCAGGGGGGGGGCCCGTAGTGGGTGCCCCAAACGGGAGATGGGAGTGGGCCTTAAAAACCGCTGCCCCTTTGGGGGGCCCATTTAAATTTAATGGGGAAAACCCCCCCCCAAACCCCCCCAAAACCCCCCCCCCCCCAAAAACCCCCCCCCCCCCCCCCCCAAACCCCCCAAACCCCAACCCCACCCCCCCCCCCCACCCCCAACCCCCCCCCCCAAACCATTTGGGGTGTTTGTTTTGGGTTGTTTTGGGGGGGGTGGTTTTTTTTGGGCCCACCAAAAAAAAAAAAAAAAAACCCCCAAAAAAAAAAACAAAACCCCACAAAAAAACCAAAAAAACAAAAAAACCCCAACAAAAAAAAACCCGCAAAACAACCAACACCCCCAAACCCACAAAACCCCCAAAAAACCACCACAAACCACACAAACCCCCCCCCAAACCAAAAAGGGGGGGGGGGGGGGGGGTTTGGGGGGTTTGGGGTTTGGGGGGTTTGGGGGGGGTTTTGGGGTTTTTTTTGGGGTGGTTTCCCCGGAGGGTTGGGGGTTTTTTGTTTGGGGGGTTTTGGGTGTTTGGGGGGGTTGGGGTTTTAATTGGAAAGGGGGGGGGGGTTGGGTTTTGGGGTTTTGGGTTTGGGGGGTTGGGGGGTTTTTTTGGGGTTTTTTTGGGGGGGTTTGTTTGTTTAATTTTTTTGGTTTGGGGGGGGGTTGGGGGGGGGGGGTTGGGGGGGGTTTTTTTGGGTTTGGGGGGGGGTTTTTGGGGATGGTTTTTTTGGTTTTGGGGGGGTTTTTGGGGGGTTTTGGGAAACCCCCTGCGTGAAAACCGATCGCCCCCCCCTTTTCTTTCACCCGCCCCTTGGGTCCTTTCCCTATTCCAAACCCGTGGGGCCCGGATTGCCCGATCCTGTGGGGCCAAAACCCCCCCCCAAATTTTAAACCCCTAAGGATTTTCGGTTCCCCCTTTTTAAAAGAAAGGGAAACACCCGAAAAAAAACCCATAAAGGAAAAAACTTCCCAAAAATGTTGGGGGTTTTTTTGTGGGGCCGGGTTTTTGGGTTTCCCCTGTCCCGTTTTTGGTCGGGGCCCCGGGGGCCCTTTGGTTTTTCCTTTGTTTTCCCCCTTTTGCGGGGGGGTGGTCCTTTTTTGTCCCTTCCCGTTCCCCTGGGGGGCTCTTCCCTGGTGTGTCCCGTTTTCCCTGTCCCTGTTCCGGGGGGCCCGGGGCGTGCCCGTTTGGGGGGGGGGTCTTTTTGTCCCGTTCCCTGTGCCCCCCCGGCTTCGGTCCCCTGGGGTTGGTCCCGTCCCCCCGGGGTTCTTGCCCCTTTTCGGCCCTGTGGGGGCTCTTTTCCCTCTGGTTTCCCTGCCGGGGTCCCTCCCGTCCCCGTGTTTCCCCGGGGGGTTGTCTCTGTCCCCTGTGGTCTCTGTCCCTTGTCTGGGGTCCCTGGGTCCCTCTTTTCCCCCTTGTGGGCTCGTTCCCTGGGTTCCTGTTTTCCCCCGTGTCTCTGTCCCTGTTTTCCCATGTTTCCCCGGTCCCCCTTTGGCCGGGTTCGCCCTTTGCTCGGGCCCCAATCGCCCCGTTCCCTTGCCCCCCAGCCGTCCTTTTTTCGAGCTCCTCTAGGGGCGGGGGTGTGGCAAAGGGGCGGGTTCCCCTTTTTGGCTCCCGTCCCTAAAGGGCGGGGGCCCGGTTTAAACCGGTGGTAACCCACCCTTTCAGAAGACGACCCGGGAAAAATTTAAGGGAATGTCCCCGGGGGCAAACGACGGGGCGGACGTGGAGGGAAAAGGAACCCTTTTCTGGTAGGGACGGGTTTTAGGAAACCAGGGGTTTAACGAACCGGAACCTAACCAAGAAAGGCAAGTCAATAGGGACCAATGGGCCCAAAAATGGATAAAAAAAGGGGGGATTCAATTAAATTTTAAAAAAAACAATCCACATTTTTAGCTACGTTTTTTTTAGATGGGATGATTTGGACGTGAAACGCGAAAATGCTTGTATCGTTACCATTGACTTGCATTGAATTTGTGCCACAAATGCTAAAAAGTTAGCATTTGAAACAGTGGCCAGGTAAACAAAACCAGAACATGGGTTGCTTTCATACCTCGTCCATAGACGGGAAACCAGGTAAGGAAACCAATATGTCATTTTGTAATGTGGATGAACGATCCCTTTTAACCATTAGACGGGAATCAGAGTTTCAGTCAGCTGGTAATAGCCGGCTTCCGGCCGGTGAAATTTGCCGCTTGCCAATTGTCCGGAAGAAGAGGAAGACCAAATCCCATCGCGAAATAATGTTTTTTAGCCTCTTGATTGGTGGAAACGCCAGTCGGTGGAAACGCCAGTCGGTGGAAACGCCAGTCGGTGGAAATACATTTAACTGGTCATGCTTATCGGTCTATAGGTTAATTTGTATAATTTTTGTGGAATTAAATTGGCGCCTTTACAGTATATTCGTTACGTATCTTATTTATCGCGACGCGTAAATCAGATACAGAGACTTTGAGTGGAACATCTGTCAGCTGCTGCAGCATATAGAAGACAGCGCCATCCACTCTGCAACGAGCTGGAGGCAGTATGCATTTTGAAAACATATACTTAAATTGTTTGAAACTTGAACATTTTACTACATATTATGAGGCATGTTTTACCTTGCTTCAAAGTGGCCTAGCGAAATTCAGACCAATTATTTTATATCAACTTTCTTTCGTTGTCCGTTGTGCAAAAGGCACAATCCTAGTAATTTTTTAAAAAATGTTTTAATTTAACCTTAGTCTCATTGAGATCAAATCTATTTTTTCAAGAGAGACCTGGTCTAACCAAGACTGCAGCAATGTTTGAGACAAATATCAGATATACTGTAACAATTTAAAGACATAAAATAAAATGTTTTGACGTAGACGCACAGATTTCAATTACAGAAACATACAAATTGGTGCATATTAGAGCTCCCCTTTCAAAATTTCTAGTGGATACTTTCATCTCTCACGTGAAACCGCTCGCATGCCTTTTTGACAAGTGTTTCCCCGCTAATTGCATTATGGAACGAACATGTGAAATGTGAAATAATTAAGAGTTTATCAACATTTTTAAGCAAAAAAATTCTGATCTCTTGCATCAGACTTATTGCTTAAAAAAAAAAAAAAAATGTAGCTTAACTGGTTGTATTAATTTGGGATCTATTTTCCCACAACTGTCCCAGAGTCTGTTTGGGAAAGGCTATTTATTTTCTTGACAATCTGACCAATAAATAGGTGAGCTTTCCTACTACGGGGGAATAGTAGATTGACATACAGTGGGGGAAAAAAAGTATTTAGTCAGCCACCAATTGTGCAAGTTCCACCATCATTTGCAAATAAATTCATTAAAAATCCTACAATGTGATTTTCTGGATTTTTTTCCCCCTCATTTTGTCTGTCATAGTTGACGTGTACCTATGATGAAAATTACAGGCCTCTCTCATCTTTTTAATTGGGAGAACTTGCACAATTGGTGGCTGACTAAATACTTTTTTCCCCCACTGTAGGCAAGTGATTTTGCTGTTCGTTACTCGTCTTGTTGGCTGAGGGAAAAGTACACCGAACAAAAATATAAACTCAAAACGACGAGCACGCAGATGAGCTTCCCTGAGACGGTTTCTGACAGTTGGTGCAGAAATTATTCGGTTGTAAAAAAAACAGTTTTCATCAGCTGTCCGGGTGGCTGGTCTCAGACGATCCCGCAGGTGACGAAGCTGGATGTGGAGGTGCTGGGCTGGCGTGGTTACACGTGATCTGCGGTTGTGAGGCCGGTTGGACGTTCTGCCAAATTCTCTTAAAACGACGTTGGAGGCGGCTTATGGTAGAGCGCTCCCTCAACTTGAGAGATCTTTTATTGTCCCCAGCACAAGGTGCACCTGTGTAATGATCACGCTGTTTAATCAGCTTCTTGATATACCACACCTGTCAGTTGGATACACTATCTTGGCAAAGGAGAAATGCTCACCAACAGGGATGTACAAAAATTTGTGCACAAGATTTGAGAGAAATAAGCTTTTTTTGTGCATGTGGAAAATTTCTGGGATCTTATATTTCAGCTCATGAAACATTGTACCGACACTTCACATGTTGCCTTTATTTTTTGTTCAGTTTATTATTATTATTATTAAATAGTAAATGTAAACAGTTATTCTAACGTCTTCAAAGTGCACATCAGAATTTGGTAAGAAGGACACGCACATCGTTGCATCCTCGATTTTTGCACGTTCTGTTAATATGATTTACTATATTCATATGTGAACGCCCTAATGAGGTTAAGCAAATGGGTCCGGTAAATTTCTCAAATGTCCGTTAAATTTTAAAATGCTGCCGGTTAAATGTCCGGCGCCGCAATTTCCTAACGGAAACCCGAAAAGTCGGAAATATGACTTTACGTCGGTGTGATCCACAGGAGCCAGGATGGACCAGCTGGACCTGCAGCCCACAGGGGACACACCACTAAGGTAACTATAGCACACACACACAGTAGAGTTTCTACTTTCTCTTTTTCTACAAGTATTGCGCTCTCTTATTGGGTTATTGATTGGTTATTGATCTCTGTTATTGTGTTATTGATCTGTTATTGATTTGTAATTGACGGATATGTTATTAGGTATTTATTGGTAGGGGTGTGAATATTTTAAACGTTTATAAATTAAATTGGGATCCTTAACGTTAAGAAAAATCCCTAATGGGAAAAACAATTTTTTTTTTGTCCCCCACCCCCACACAAATGAAGCTGACTATTTCTCTTCGCCAGTGTGTGTTCAGTCTTTGGTCTGTCCTTTAGAATATCCTAGTCAGCCTCCCGAGTGGCGCAGCTGTCTAAGGCACTGTGTCTCAGTGCTTGAGGCATCACTACAGACCCGGATTCGATCCCAGGCTGTGTCACAGAGACCCATGAGGCGGCGCACAATTGGCCCAGCGTCGTCCAGGGTAGGGGAAGGTTTGGCCGGCCGGGTCGTGTTTTGGAGGACCCATGGCTCTCGACCTTCGCTTCTCCCGAGTCCGTACGGGAGTTGTAGCGATGGGACAAGACTGTAACTACCAATTTGATATCACAAAATTAAGGAGAAAAAGGGGTAAAAGTACATATTTTTTATATACAGTACCAGTCAAAAGTTTGGACACACCTACTCATTCCAGGCTTTTTCTTTATTTTTACTATTTTCTACATTGTAGAATAATAGTGAAGACATCAAAACTATGAAATAACACATATGGAATCATGTAGTAACCAAAAAAGTGTTAAACAAATCAAAATATATTTTATATTTGAGATTCTTCAAAGTGATGACAGCTTTGCACGCTCTTGGCATTCTCTCAACCAGCTTCATGAGGAATTATTTTCCAACAGTCTTGAAGGAGTTCCCACATATGCTGAGCACTTGTTGGCTGCTTTTCCTTCACTCTACCGTCCGACTCATCCCAAACCATCTCAATTGGGTTGTGGTCGGTTGATTGTGGAGGCCAGGTCATCTGATGCAGCACTCCACCACTCTCCTTGGTCAAATAGCCCTTACACAGCCTGGAGGTGTGTTTTGGGTCATTGTCCTGTTGAAAAACAAATGATAGTCCCACTAAGCCCAAACTAGATGGGATGGCGTATCGCTGCAGAATGCTGTGGTAGCCATGCTGGTTAAGTGTGCCTTGAATTCTAAATAAATCACTGACCGTGTCACCAGCAAAGCACCCGCACACCACCTCCATGCTTCACGGTGGGAACCACACATGCAGAGATCATCCGTTCACCTACTCTGCAAAAATCTCACATTTGGATTTGTCAGACCAAAGGACAGATTTCCACCGGTTTAATGTCCATTGCTCAGGTTTCTTGGCCCAAGCAAGTCTCTTCTTCTTATTGGTGTCATTTAGTAGTGGTTTCTTTGCAGCAATTTGACCATGAAGGCCTGATTCACGGAGTCTCCTCTGAACAGTTGATGTTGAGATGTGTCTGTTACTTGAACTCTGTGAAGCATTTATTTGGGCTACAATCTGAGATGCAGTTAACACTGCAGCAGAGGTAACTCTGGGTCTTCCATTCCTGTGGCGGTCCTCATGAGACCCAGTTTCATCATAGCGCTTGATGGTTTTTGCGACTGCACTTGAAGAAACATTCTAAGTTCTTGAAATTTTTCGGATACTTTTTTAAGTAATGTACTGTTGTTTCTCTTTGCTTATTTGAGCTGTTCTTGCCATAATATGGACTTGGTCTTTTACCAAATAGGGCGAACTTCTGTATACCACCCCTACCTTGTCACAACACAACTGATTGGCTCAAACATTTACATTTACGTCATTTAGCAGACGCTCTTATCCAGAGCGACTTACAAATTGGTGCATTCACCTTATAGCCAGTGGGATAACCACTTTACAATATGTTAAAACATTTTTGGGGGTGGGGTAAGGGGGGGTAGAAGGATGACTTTATCCTATCCCAGGTATTCCTTAAAGAGGTGGAGTTTCAAGTGTCTCCGGAAGGTGGTGAGCGACTCCGCTGTCCTGGCGTCGTGAGGGAGCTTGTTCCACCATTGGGGTGCCAGAGCAGCGAACAGTTTTGACTGGCCTGAGCGGGAACTGTGCTTCCGCAGAGGAAGGGGAGCCAGCAGGCCAGAGGTGGATGAACGCAATGCCCTCGTTTGGGTGTAGGGACTGATCAGAGCCTGAAGGTACGGAGGTGCCGTTCCCCTCACTGCTCCATAGGCAAGCACCATGGTCTTGTAACGGATGCGAGCTTCAACTGGAAGCCAGTGTAGTGTGTGGAGGAGCGGGATGATGTGAGAGAACTTGGGAAGGTTGAACAACAGACGGGCTGTGCCATTCTGGATGAGTTGTAGGGGTTTAATGGCACAGGCAGGGAGCCCAGCCAACAGCGAGTTGCAGTAATCCAGATGGGAGATGACAAGTGCCTGGATTAGGACCTGTGTCGCTTCCTGTGTAAGGCAGGGTCGTACTCTCCGAATGTTGTAGAGCATGAACCTGCAGGATCGGGTCACCGCCTTGATGTTTGCGGAGAACGACAGGGTGTTGTCCAGGGTCACGCCAAGGCTCTTTGCACTCTGGGAGGAGGACACAACGGAGTTGTCAACCGTGATGGCGAGATCATGGAACGGGCACTCCTTCCCCGGGAGGAAGAGCAGCTCCGTCTTGCCGAGGTTCAGTTTGAGGTGGTGATCCGTCATCCATACTGATATGTCTGCCAGACATGCAGAGATGCGATTTGCCACCTGGTTATCAGAAGGGGGAAAGGAGAAGATTAGTTGTGTGTCGTCTGCGTAGCAATGATAGGAGAGGCCATGTGAGGATATGACAGAGCCAAATGACTTGGTGTATAGCGAGAATAGGAGAGGGCCTAGAACTGAGCCCTGGGGGACACCAGTGGTGAGAGCACGTGGTGCGGAGACAGCTTCTCGCCACGCCACTTGGTAGGAGCAACCTGTCAGGTAGGACGCAATCCAGGAGTGAGCCGCGCCGGAGATGCCCAACTCGGAGAGTGTGGAGAGGAGGAATTGATGGTTCAGCAGGGTGGAGAAGGTGGCAAAGAGCTTCCTAGCGATAAATGATAAGGATGTTAAACTTGAATGGGCTAGTGACAAACGCATTAAGAAGGAAAGAAATTCCACAAATGAACTTTTATTAACACACCTGTTAATTGAAATACATTCCAGGGGACTACCTCCATAAAGCTGGTTATTTCATAGTTTTGATGTCTTCAATATTATTCTACAATGCAGAAAATAGTCAAAATAAAGAAAAACCCTGGAATGAGTAGGTGTCCAAACCTTTGACTGGTGCTGTGTATATATAAATCCTAGCCTCTTCATTGATGATAGGCCCCGTTTTACTTCAGTTGCAAGAAATTGCGAGCCAAGAAATTACGAAATACAGCATTCCGTTGAGAGATACAGCCTTTGATTGCCAATAGATAGGCCTAGTGCACGGTTCTGACTGTCTGTCTGGTGGCTGACCTGCCTATACTGATAGATAGGCCTAGTGCACGGTTCTGTCTGTCTGGTGGCTGACCTGCCTATACTGATAGATAGGCCTAGTGCACGGTTCTGACTGTCTGTCTGGTGGCCGACCTGCCTATACTGATAGATAGGCCTAGTGCACGGTTCTGTCTGTCTGGTGGCTGACCTGCCTATACTGATAGATAGGCCTAGTGCACGGTTCTGTCTGTCTGGTGGCTGACCTGCCTATACTGATAGATAGGCCTAGTGCACGGTTCTGACTGTCTGGTGGCTGACCTGCCTATACTGATAGATAGGCCTAGTGCACGGTTCTGACTGTCTGTCTGGTGGCCAACCTGCCTATACTGATAGATAGGCCTAGTGCACGGTTCTGTCTGTCTGGTGGCTGACCTGCCTATACTGATAGATAGGCCTAGTGCAGGGTTCTGTCTGTCTGGTGGCTGATCTGCCTATACTGATAGATAGGCCTAGTGCACGGTTCTGTCTGTCTGGTGGCTGACCTGCCTATACTGATAGATAGGCCTAGTGCACGGTTCTGACTGTCTGGTGGCTGACCTGCCTATACTGATAGATAGGCCTAGTGCACGGTTCTGTCTGTCTGGTGGCTGACCTGCCTATACTGATAGATAGGCCTAGTGCACGGTTCTGACTGTCTGGTGGCTGACCCGCCTATACTGCCCCTCTCTCTGTCCCTCGCTAGCTAGCTATAAAAGATGTGAGTGTTTGTGTTCTCGGAAGTATGGCAACTAAAAATACTGAGTCTTATGAGTCGATTCCTAGCGGAAGATGAGTTTTCTTTCTTCTAAATGTATTGGTATTTAACCAATTTATACCCATTGGTACTCACTTTTTAAAGTACTTTTTTTTTTGCAGGCAGTAAGGCAGGCAGCTCTATTATTTGATTGACAGTTCTGGTCGCCTAGTGATGGAAGTTAGTCTGAAGAAGAATTCCTTTACAGACAAGTAAAATGGCAGTTCAGTGGTGCATCAACTATCTCCAGAGAAGGTTTGTTTTGTGTCTGCATTTAAAAAGCTGCGGTGTATCCTCACAGACAAATAAACATGCTGTAGCCGAGGCGCTTTCAAAGATATTTGACTGCGGTAGATACATTTTATTAGGTACACCACCCCGTTCACGAAAATGCATCGCTCCTACAGACAGTGAGTTACGTGGCCGTGGCTTGCTATATAAAGCAGGCGGACAGGCATCAAGGCATTCAGTTACTGTTGGATTGAACGTGGGCAAAACGAGTGACCTAAGCGACTTTGAGCGTGGTATGATTGTTGGTGCCCCTCTTGTACCACAGTAACAAAAAAAACATCCAGTCAGCGGCAGTCCTGTGGGCGACGACAGCTCGTTGATGAGCGAACGTCGAAGGAGAACGGCGAGAACAGTGTAAGCTAACGGGCTGTTCGCAGCATGAGATGTACCACCGTCCCATCTGTGGCAACAGTGTGATGCCATTGCGTCAGCATGGACCAACATTCCTGTGGAAGGTTTCCGACACCTTGTGGAATGTCCCGAATAATTCAGGCTGTTCTGGAGGCAAAGGGGGGGGGTCCGACCCAGTACTAAATGGGTGTACCTAATAAACTGCATATGTAATAGGACCATTATTCTGTGAATTGACGTGTAATTTTATCATTTTTTTCCTTATCGTTTTAACTGGGAACAATTTTTTTTTTTTTTAATGGCAGTTTAAATGTTAAGCAGAATTGTCCATTTGTCACATCTCTAGTTATTGGTTGCTTATTGATTGGTTATTGGTTGCTTATTGATTGGTTATTGGTTGCTTATTGATTGGTTATTTCTGTGTGTGTTTCAGAGTGGAGGAGGTAGAGGCCAACCCCTCTCCAACAGGGTCAGACGTTCTCTCAACCCCTTTCTCTACAGAAACACAGAGTACGATGTCTGGGTGAAGTCCAAGAGAGGTACATTTTAAAATACTTTATTTTAATCCAAATCCAATTACATCAAGAAGGATTCGATCATTTAAAAGAGTTGGTCTTTGCTGCTATAACAGCCTCCACTCTTCTGGGAAGGCTTTCCACTAGATGTTGGAACATTGCTGCGGGGACTTGCTTCCATTCAGCCACAAGAGCATTAGTGAGGTCGGGCACTGATGTTGGGCGATTAGGCCCGGCTCGCAGTCGGCGTTCCAATTCATCCCAAAGGTGTTAGATGGGGTTGAGGTAAGGGCTCTGTGCAGGCCAGTCAAGTTCTTCCACACCGATCTCGACAAACCATATCTGAATGGACCTCGCTTTGTGCTCGGGTGCATTGTAATGCTGAAACAGGAAAGGGCCTTCCCCAAACTGTTGCAACAAAGTTGGAAGCACAGAATCGTCTAGAACGTCATTGTATGCTGTAGCGTTAAGATTTCCCTTCACTGGAACTAAGGAGCCTAGCCAGAACCATGAAATACAGCCCCAGACCATTATTCCTCCTCCACCAAGCTTTACAGGTGGCACTATGCATTGGGGCAGGTAGCGTTCTCCTGGCATCCGCCAAAACCAGATTCGTCCGTCGGACTGCCAGATGGTAAAGCGTGATTCATCACTCCAGATAAACGTGTTTACACTGGTCCAGAGTCCAATGGCGGTGAGCTTTACACCACTCCAGCCGACGCTTGGCATTGCGCATGGTGATCTTAGGCTTGTGTGCGGCTGCTCGGCCATGGAAACCCATTTCATGAAGCTCCCAACGAACAGTTATTGTGCTGACGTTGCTTCCAGAGGCAGTTTGGAACTCAGTAGCGAGTGTTGTAACCGAGGACAGACGATTTCTACGCGCTTCATCATTCGGCGGTCCCGTTCTGTGAGCTTGTGTGGCCTACCACTTCGCGGCTAAGATGTTGTTGCTCCTAGACGTTTCCACTTCACAATAACAGCACTTACAGTTGACCGGGGCAGCTCTAGCAGGGCAGAAATTTGACGAACTGACTTGTTGGAAAGGTGGCATCCTATGACGGTGCCATGTTGAAAGTCACTGAGCTCTTCAGTACGGGCCATTCTACTGCCAATGTTTGTCTATGGAGATTGCATGGCTGTGTGCTCAATTTTATACACCTGCCAGCAACGGGTGTGGCTGAAATAGCTGAATCCACTAATTTGAAGGGATGACCACATACTTTGGGCAATATAGTGTAGTTTAGTGATTTAATATTACTTTTTATTTCTATTCTGTTTTTATTTGAAATTCAGTTGTCAGTTTACGGTCATGACATGTTGTGTTTATGTAATATTAAACATGTATCACTGACTAACCCCTTCAAAAAGGGTTCAGAAAAACGGCTGCAATACAACAATTCTTCACAGATCTTTCAGTTTAACAGTTTTGTGTGTGTGTGTGTGCACATTTCTGTTCAACCAAACATGATTTTCTGGTGTATTATTTAAGAGACTGCATTCCAGAGAGGTGGTCGTTCGGTTTCTCAAGCCTGATGACAGTTGTCCACAGACACAGAATATTCTCTCCACGAACGCTTGGGGTGCGGTGGTAGAAAACAGATCTAGTGTGACAGGGCACCGCTTTGGATAAACAACTCGGTCAACATGCCTCCCTTTACCACTTCCAGGTATTTCCACAGCTCACACGGGGCACGTAATGCCCTGCCTGGTTGACCCTCCGGCTGGACAGTGACCTCAGACACTATCTTTGATGCGAGGAAGCTAAATTTCTGAAGGACTGTGGTCGAGATGCTTGCTGGATTCATCGTGCTGGCATCTTCCTGGGGGTCCTTCTGCGCCACGGCTGTACTCTCTGATTTGCTGAAGTACAAAATACTTTTGCTTCTCTGATCAGTGGCTCCGTCTCTCTTATGGGAAGTGCCAGAGACACACGCAGTGACCTTCAGGAGGACCTGTGCCAACTGTTTTGCAACAGTAGTTTGAATGCAAGTGTGCCTCCAAGGGTGAGAAGGCACGGCACCACATCAGACAGGTGATTGGCTGTTAGTTTTGAAGTTTGGTCGGTGTGGATTTGCGAACGGCTCCTGCGACTTCACCAGCTGCTCAAGCCTGGCCCAGTCACGCTCAGTGGACGCCCTCGGATTTCATCCCTGTTAGCTAGTAATAGCTAGGCCTATTTGAAATATCGCCATCTACTGGCAGCATTTACCTGCCGGATTCAGACGCTAGGAAAAAATGGTGGTTTTTATTTGAGTTAGTTTTGCAGTCAAAGATAGTTTCAGTATAGTTTGTTTTTATTTGGCTGAATTGTTTTTCCATTTTAGTTTATTTTAGTTTCAGTTTTCATTTACTATAATAACCTTGGTACCTGTGTTTGTATTGAGTGGTGGTGTCATGGGGATTTTGTTCACCTGTTCTAACTTGGTTATTTCCTGTTTCAGCTCAGCAAAAGCTGGATTTCTGCATCGCTGCTGGGATGCAGTACACCGTGGGAGACAAGTGCAAGGTGCGGTGTGTGTGTGTGTGAGGTCTTCACTCCACTGACTGTGTTTTGTGTGGATGCTCTCTGATAGTGTAGTTGTTCTGCCCCGCCCCCTCTAGGTTCGCCTTGACAACGGTGGGCGTTACTATGGCGCCTACATCCAGGAAGTGTCGCCTGACAACGGGCCCGTCACTGTCTTCATAGAGGAACTGGGCAGGAAGTAGGTCATCTCTCTCCTTTTTATAGGATTTTTGTTCTCTGCTTTACCCTGTCATGTTTTATAGTGTTCTGGGCTTTACCCTGTCATGTTTTATAGTTGTTCTGGGCTTTACCCTGTCATGTTTTATAGTTGTTCTGGGCTTTACCCTGTCATGTTTTATCGTTGTTCTGGGCTTTACCCTGTCATGTTTTATAGTTGTCTGGGCTTTACCCTGTCATGTTTATAGTTGTTCTGGGCTTTACCTGTCCATGTTTTATCGTTGTTCTGGGCTTTACCCTGTCATGTTTTATAGTTGTTCTGGGCTTTACCCTGTCATGTTTTATAGTTGTTCTGGGCTTTACCCTGTCATGTTTTATAGTTGTTCTGGGCTTTACCCTGTCATGTTTTATAGTTGTTCTGGGCTTTACCCTGTCATGTTTTATAGTTGTTCTGGGCTTTACCCTGTCATGTTTTATCGTTGTTCTGGGCTTTACCCTGTCATGTTTTATCGTTGTTCTGGGCTTTACCCTGTCATGTTTTATCGTTGTTCTGGGCTTTACCCTGTCATGTTTTATAGTTGTTCTGGGCTTTACCCTGTCATGTTTTATAGTTGTTCTGGGCTTTACCCTGTCATGTTTTATAGTTGTTCTGGGCTTTACCCTGTCATGTTTTATCGTGTGTGTGAATGTGTCCAGACGCTCTGTATCCCTCTGGAACCTGCGGCCCCCCACAGACGAGACGACGTCCTGGAGCACGGTGACCCGAGACGGAAAGAGACTGAACAACGTCTCCACTCCACACCCTGGTAAGGACCCTACACCTGTCCCCTAGACCCCTAGTCTTTGGTAAGTGCCTTAAACATGTCCCCTAGCCACTAACTTTGAAACCTTTTGCATCGTCCCAACAGTGTTCATGAATAACTTTTTCCTGCAATCAGTCTTTGATCGATCTCTCTTGTGTTCTAGAATATATTTGTTTTAGAATGAGCTGTGTTCTGTTGTACAACAGTTGAAAACTTCAACTCTTCTCTCTGTCTCTCTGTGTCTCTGTGTCTCTCTCTCTCTCTCTCTCTCTCTCTCTCTCTCTCTCTCTCTCTCTCTCTCTCTCTCTCTCTGTCTCTCTCTGTCTCTCTGTCTCTCTGTCTCTATCCCACCTTCTTTCTCTATCCCACCTTCTCTCTCTATCCCACCTCTCTCTCTCTCTCTCTCCCTCTCTCTCTCTGTCTCTCTCTCTCTCTCTCTCTCTCTCTCTCTCTCTCTCTCTCTGTCTCTGTCTCTGTCTCTCTCTCTCTCTCTCTCCCCCCCCCCCCAGAGTGGGAGGGCAGGGGAGGAGGGAGGAGGTCAGGGAATCCTTCGCCGTCGGAAACGCTGCCTGTCTCTCAGGCAAAAGGCCCCTCCCACAGCGTTGGGCGTGGTGTCCACAAGCAGCACTCTTGGCCCCCACAGGCCACCGTAGAGGAGGGAGGGGTCAGGAGCACCCCCCACCTCAACCCCAGGTCTGTCTGGACCCCAATACTAAACTTTTACACCGATCTTAGATGGAAAAAACCAACCACTAGCTGCAGTAGAGAGTTACAGGGCATTCGGAAAGTATTTTGTTACGTTACAGCCTTATTCTGAAATGTTTTTAATTGTTTTTTCCCCTCATCAATCTTGACACAATACCCCATAATGACAAAGCAAAAACAGGTTTTTATACATTTTTGCTAATTAATTAAAAATAAGTATTCAGACCCTTTACTCAGTACTTTGTTGAAGCACCTTTGGCAGCGATTACAGCCTCGAGTCTTCTTGGGTATGACGCTACAAGCTTGGCACACCTGTATTTGGGGAGTTTCTCCCATTCTTCTCTGAAGATCCTCTCAAGCTCTGTCAGGTTGGATGGGGAGCGTCGCTGCACAGCTATGTTCAGGTCTCTCCAGAGATATTCGATTGGGTTCAAGTCCGGGCTCTGGCTGGGCCACTCAAGGACATTCAGAGACTTGTCCCGAAGCCAGTCCTGTGTTGTCTTGGCTGTGTGCTTAGGGTCGTTGTCCTGTTGGAAGGTGAACCTTCACCCCAGTCTGAGGTCCTGAGCGCTCTGGAGCAGGTTTTCATCAAGGATCTCTCTGTACTTTGCTCCATTCATCTTTCCCTCGACCCTGACTAGTCTCCCAGTCCCTGCCGCTGAAAAACATCCCCACAGCATGATGCTGCCACCACCATGCTTCACCGTAGGGATGGTGCCAGGTTTCCTCCAGATGTGACGCTTGGCATTCAGGCCAAAGAGTTCAATCTTGGTTTCATCAGACCAGAGAATCTTTTGGCAAACTCCAAGCGGGCTGTCATGTGCCTTTTACTGAGGAGTGGCTTCCATCAGGCAACTTTACCATAAAGGCCTGATTGGTGGAGTGCTGCAGAGATGGTTGTCCTTCTGGAAGGTTCTCCCATCTCCACAGAGGAGCTCTGTCAGAGTGACCATCGGGCCCTTGTCCCCCGATTGCTCAGTTTGGCCGGGCGGCCAGCTCTAGGAAGAGTCTTGGTGGTTCCAAACTTCTTCCATTTAAGAATGATGGAGGCCACTGTGTTCTTGGGGACCTTCAATGCCACAGAAATGTTTTGGTACCCTCCCCCAGATCTGTGCCTCGACACGATCCTGTCTCAGAGCTCTACGGACAATTCCTTCGACCTCATGGCTTGGTTTTTGCTCTGACATGCACCGTCAACTGTGGGTCCTCAGGAAACTAGGCATATGTCTACTTCACAGGAGCTGCATTTTAATGTAAACATAATTGTTTTTATCTAAATGTATTTTTTTGGCAGAAATACCTACTGGCGCATGTGAACTTTCATGTGCCTTAATAAAAAACGTATATTCCATCCATAAATACGAATACATTTGTTAAATTACGAGCCTAGATGGTTTAGACATGGAGAAAGACAGGAACCTCCCCACTAGCCATGATTGGCTGAAATAATGTATGGGCTGGACATGCCGGGAGATGAGTTTGGATTGGTCTGCCATGTAGCACGCTTCTGTCTAAGGAGGTTTTTGCCAAGAGCGCGCAAAGCTGTCATCAAGTCCTGTGTAGCTCAGTTGGTAGAGCATGGTGTTTGCAACGCCAGGGTTGTGGGTTCGATTCCCACGGGGGGGCCAGTATGAAAGATGTATGCACTCACTAACTGTAAGTCGCTCTGGATAAGAGTGTCTGCTAAATGACTACAATGTAAAATATCAAGGCAAAGGGTCTCTGATTTGTTTAACACTTTTTTTCGTTACTACATGATTCGAAATGTGTTATTTCATAGTTTTGATGTCTTCACTATTATTCTACAATGTAGATTATAGTAAAACTAATGTAATAACCCTTGAATGAGTAGAGGTCTGTAATTTTTTATCATAGGTACACTTCAACTGTGAGAGACGGAATCTAAAACAAAAATCCAGAAAATCACATTGTATGATTTTTAAGTAATTAATTTGCATTTTATTGCATGACATAAGTATTTGATACATCAGAAAAGCAGAACTCAACTTGTAAGCAGGCATGGATGACATAGCAGAATGAACACCCTTCCATACATAAACAGATTCCGTCTCTCACAGTTGAAGTGTACCTATGATAAAAATTACAGATCTCTACATGCTTTGTAAGTAGGAAAACCTGCAAAATCGGCAGTGTATCAAATACTTGTTCTCCCCACTGTGTGTGTGTATGTATGTGTGTGTGTGTGTGTGTGTATATATGTGTATATATGTGTATATATATATATATATATATATATATATATATATATATATATATATATATATATATATATATATATACACACACAGTGGGGAAAAAAAGTATTTAGTCAGCCACCAATTGTGCAAGTTCTCCCACTTAAAAAGATGAGGCCTGTAATTTTCATCATAGGTACACGTCAACTATGACAGACAAATTGAGAAAAAAAAATCTAGAAAATCACATTGTAGGATTTTTAATGAATTTATTTGCAAATTATGGTGGAAAATAAGTATTTGGTCACCTACAAATAAGCAAGATTTCTGGCTCTCACAGACCTGTAACTTCTTCTTTAAGAGGCTCCTCTGTCCTCCACTCGTTACCTGTATTAATGGCACCTGTTTGAACTTGTTATCAGTATAAAAGACACCTGTCCACAACCTCAAACAGTCACACTCCAAACTCCACTATGGCCAAGACCAAAGAGCTGTCAAAGGACACCAGAAACAAAATTGTAGACCTGCACCAGGCTGGGAAGACTGAATCTGCAATAGGTAAGCAGCTTGGTTTGAAGAAATCAACTGTGGGAGCAATTATTAGGAAATGGAAGACATACAAGACCACTGATAATCTCCCTCGATCTGGGGCTCCACGCAAGATCTCACCCTGTGGGGTCAAAATGATCACAAGAACGGTGAGCAAAAATCCCAGAACCACACGGGGGGACCTAGTGAATGACCTGCAGAGAGCTGGGACCAAAGTAACAAAGCCTACCATCAGTAACACACTACGCCGTCAGGGACTCAAATCCTGCAGTGCAGACGTGTCCCCCTGCTTAAGCCAGTACATGTCCAGGCCCGTCTGAAGTTTGCTAGAGTGCATTTGGATGATCCAGAAGAGGATTGGGAGAATGTCATATGGTCAGATGAAACCAAAATATAACTTTTTGGTAAAAACTCAACTCGTCGTGTTTGGAGGACAAAGAATGCTGAGTTGCATCCAAAGAACACCATACCTACTGTGAAGCATGGGGGTGGAAACATCATGCTTTGGGGCTGTTTTTCTGCAAAGGGACCAGGACGACTGATCCGTGTAAAGGAAAGAATGAATGGGCCATGTATCGTGAGATTTTGAGTGAAAACCTCCTTCCATCAGCAAGGGCATTAAAGATGAAACGTGGCTGGGTCTTTCAGCATGACAATGATCCCAAACACACCGCCCGGGAAATTAAGGAGTGGCTTCGTAAGAAGCATTTCAAGGTCCTGGAGTGGCCTAGCCAGTCTCCAGATCTCAACCCCATAGAAAATCTTTGGAGGGAGTTGAAAGTCCGTGTTGCCCAGCGACAGCCCCAAAACATCACTGCTCTAGAGGAGATCTGCATGGAGGAATGGGCCAAAATACCAGCAACAGTGTGTGAAAACCTTGTGAAGACTTACAGAAAACGTTTGACCTGTGTCATTGCCAACAAAGGGTATATAACAAAGTATTGAGAAACTTTTGTTATTGACCAAATACTTATTTTCCACCATAATTTGCAAATAAATTCATTAAAAATCCTACAATGTGATTTTCTGGATTTTCTTTTCTAATTTTGTCTGTCATAGTTGACGTGTACCTATGATGAAAATTACAGGCCTCTCTCATCTTTTTAAGTGGGAGAACTTGCACAATTGGTGGCTGACTAAATACTTTTTTTCCCCCACTGTGTGTGTGTGTGTGTATATATATATATATATATATATATATATATATATATATATATATATATATATATATATATATATATATATATACACATATACACACACACACACAGTGAGTGAAAAAGTATTTGATACCCTGCTGATTTTGTACGTTTGCCCACTGACAAAGACATGATCAGTCTATAATTTGAATGGTAAGTTTATTTGAACAGTGAGAGACAGAATAACAACAAAAAAATCCAGAAAAACGCATGTCAAAAATGTTATAAATTGATTTGCATTTTAATGAGGGAAATAAGTATTTGACCCCTCTGCAAAACAAGACTTAGTACTTGGTGGCAAAACGCTTGTTGGCAATCACAGAGGTCAAACGTTTCTTGTAGTTGGCCACCAGGTTTGCACACATCTCAGGAGGGATTTTG